CCAAACAACCAAAAAATTTTTTTTACAAAATCAAATTCAAAATTTCACAGCAATTCCTCAAAAAAATTAAAACCATAAATACAAAAAAAATCCCACACTTCTTAATAAAAACGATGACGAATTGCCATGAAAATTTTTTCTAGTCACAATATTTTTCCACACAATTAAAATGCTAATGAGTAGGAAGTTGGCAAACATTTTAGCTTATTCAAGCCATTCAATAAAATAAACTAAAAAAAGTTCTCTTACTTCGTGATAAGCGAGAAACCTTGTTATCCAACAATGAGATTTTATGCTGAATTAATTACAATTCATCAGGCGCTGTATATGTGATATGTGTGTACGATAAAGAAAGGAACAAAAAAAAATAATTGAAGGCAATGTATTGTGCGTGTTAAATGATGTAAACAACTTTTACAAAGGAAAAAACATAAAAAAATTATTTTTTTGGTGCCTTTTTTTGTGTAAAGTATTTTTTAAGAGATTCTATCGCGATTTATGTAAGGTGTTGGAAATATTCTTTTTATATTTTCGTGTATTTTCATAGCAATATGTCATATTCACAAGAAACAGAACGACTTATCACTAATATTGATAAGAGAGTGATTCAACATTGTAGGAACACGAATTGCCGGAAAAAATAACACTTTCATGTGTGAAATGATAAAAATACCCAAATTATGTTGACCTAAAAAAAACATAAAAACTATGCGCAAATGACATTTTATTTTTTTGGGAACAGGCAGCAGGGCACAAAAGCACACCTAATAAACATATTTCACGTTTTTTTTTCATTCTCTTTACTTCTTCTTGGTTGTTCTTGTTTCTTGTGCCAAGCAAAAAATAATCGCATTGTACATAAAATTGTGTAGTTTATGCTTTTTAATATTTTTTTGCCATGAATGTTGGAGGGTTGGAAACAAATATATATTTTTATTCACGTCAGATTGCAGAAAAAAAGAACTTAGTATTAATTTCAGTTTTGGTTGATTAGTTTAGGCGCATTTCTTTAGATTTGTTCAAAAATTGACAAATTTTGACTAAATTGACTCAAGATTGGACGAGATTGATTCAAAAGTTGGACTAGATTGACTTAAAAGTTGGACTAGATTGATGCAAAATTACACTAGATTGATTCAAAAGATGGACTAGATTGATGCAAAATAAGACTAGATTGATACAAAATTTGACTAGATCGATTCAAAAATTGGACTAGATTGACTGTAAAATGGACTAGATTAATACAAAATTGGACTAGATTGATTCAAAAATCAGATCGGATTGACTTAAAAATGGACTGGATTGATACAAAAATGGACTAGATTGATACAAGTTTGGACTAGATTGATACAAAAATGGACTAGATTGATACAAGGTTGGACTAGATTGATACAAAATTGGACTAGATTGATTAAAAATCAACAGAAAAGACTCAAAGTTGACAAAAATTGACTTAAATTAAATTATCAAACTTACACAAACGAGACAGTCGGAATAAGTAAAGACAACAACACTTCTTCCCCATAACAATAACTGTGCAAAAAAACTATTGAAATAAGTTAAGTAGAGGTCTTGTGCCAGTCGTTTCTATTATTTTTTAAAATGCCGTTGTTGAAATTTAATTTGATTCTCCTTTATGTTTTTCAACAAATGATATGCAGTGTGCTATTATTAAGTGAGATTTGATATTCAATTTTTTTCATACCAACGCACGCCATCGTTAAAAAATATTTAACTTATTTTCCTTGTATGAATAATTTGCAGTTTGAATTGCATAAGTGATTGGAGGGAGACCAAAAGGTCTTCGACATTTATTCACCGTCGTTAGGGATAAAAATTCGTTTTTTTAATATTTATTGTTTTGGAAATTTATGGGTACCATAATTAAGTTCCGAACAATTGGTTCTCCTGAGTTTAATTTGACGATAATTAAATTTGAATAAATTTATGTGAGGTAGCTTAAGGTTTTTTTTTGGCATCGTGAAATAAGGAAGTGACCGTTAATATTTGAAATTCTAATTTATTGCTTTTGTATGAAATTTTTTATGAATTATGGAATTTTGGATTGTAAAAATTTATGAATTATGGAAATTAATTCCTTCAGAAATTTGCAAGGAAAATGCATTTTCGTGGAGTATTTTAATAAGTAACATATTGTAGCTTTTTGGCAAATATTTAAACTTTTTTGAGTTATGGGAAAATACGTTAAATTTATTGTTTCAATTAAACTTTAAAAACCGTTGAAAGCTTGCCATTTGGTTGACAATGAGCCAAAGTTTTGGCGCTATAAATTTTGATACGGTTGAATTAAGGCACTGGAAGTGGTTGGCATGCATCAAATATCAATTTGAGATATTTTTTAGGTCAAATTCCAAGTTTTACGGAAGTTTATTCTCTAAAACTCAATTTTCATAATAATTTATTCAGCTACATACGCTGCTCAATTTCCTATATATTTACCAATAATTCTTGAGACTATTCTAAATGTCAATCACTCAACAAGTTCTTCAAAACTTCAAAATATCATGTGTTGAAATGAATCTTAAAATTCAAATTTAATTCAAATCATCAAAATTCTACCGAAATGATTGATTCTTCCTCCACTAAATCAAATCAAATCTTCTCCAAACTTAGATTGCTTTTAAGTGAATTTAATCTAAACACGGAAAAATATCCGCGTTACAGCTCAATTTAACATTCATTTAATTTATTCACAGTCTGACTAATTAAAGAGTTTTAAAATTGAGAAATTAGAATTTTTCAGGGGTTGAAAACTTGAAATTATTAAAATTAAAATTACTTAAGAAGATTTTTTTAAAAAATGAATTTAGAATTTTCAAAAGAAAAGAATTAAATTTAAAACTTCTTATTTAAATAAAAGATTTAAATTTAAAATTTCTGTTGAAATATTGAAGTTATAAAACCAATTCCACACCCCTTAAGAACTAAACTCCAAGGAATCAAAAAAACTTTTCATCACAAAACATAAATTACGCGCCATAAGTCTAAAATGTTAAAATAAATCAATTATAAAAATTTTTTGTAAGATAAATTGTTAATTAACTTTTTACACCTTCTCGTAAAAAACAGAAGCACTCAAGAAAATACACAAAACACAAAAAATAAACAACGAAACTCTCAACTTAAAATAAAATAATAATAATCATTACAGCGAGTACAGCCGTTCTTCATTCATTAAGTTTCATAGCTTAAAAATCAATATTTATGTTGAGTTGAAAACAAAATACTTTATGTACATAGACATCCATTTAAATTGTATTTTGGAAGGGTTTTAAACTTTTTTTGTGTGTGTTATGTAAGTAACCATGGATTCACAGTTATTCATTTGTCACTTAACGTCATACAGACATTGTCCAATTGATGCAACTCGAAATTACAACTTTTTTTTGTCGACTTCACATGTGCTCAAATTTGAGATTGAAAACTTTTTTTTTGTTGTTAGAAAATTTCCATTTCAGCTGTACAAAGGAACAACTTGATTGTGAATATTCAGCCATTGTAAATGGTGCAATTTTTCCATGGCATTTTCATTTTCATTTCAGGACGATGAGTTTTTTTTTGCTACTCAACATTGATGCATGTGCAGTGTACGAGAAAAAAAAGTTGTTCGAATGCTCGCAGGCATTTTCATTTCCCTATTCAATATGACGTCCTGTCTGCAAGCGGACTAGTTAAAGTGCTTCGAGTTGCAAATACTGTGAAACAATGGCTGGAAAGTTTTGATAGTATAAAGGGGGGGGGGGGGGTCAGGTGGGGTGGGGGTGTTCTGCTGTACTGATTAAGTAGACTAGGCGATTTAAGGAATAAAGTTGCTGCATTTTAAGAGTTTGTTGTGAAATTTCAGTTAGAATGGGACGTGAAAAAGAGCAACCCTAACCTCAAAATATCAAATTTGATAATTTTTGTTCGTTTTGTTGATCTTTTAGCTGTCACTTGAAAAGCAAACAGTTGACACTTGACATTTAATCGTGATTCAGGGTTAGGAATGATCTTGATTAGAGTGAATATAATCATAAGAAGGTTCTTATTAAGAACCTAGTTAAGAGGACAGTTTAGCATTGATTGGACTATTTTTCTGTGTCTTCTCATTAATATCTCACTGCTGACGTAGTGAAGCTACACTTAATAGCATCAACTAACATATAAATGCTCTATAATCTCAGAATCTATATCTTTAACATGTCTAATCTCTCAGAAAACTCAATGCACAAACTAAAGTCTACCAAAATGCACTTATTGATAATTTTTTTGATCACTTTGGAACATTTTTATCAGTTCAACACCCTTGGATGCCCCCCAGAAACCCAAATTATTCAGGACAAACTGAAACCACAATTTACAAAAAATTCCACATCACAAAAAAAAAATCCAAATGAAATTTTTTGTCCGTAAACCGACTGATGGATATCTCTTTTTCCTTTTCACTCTCTTTTTTGCCATGTGCGCCATGCTTTGTGCATGTTGAGTATTATATTTATTTATATATATTTTTTTGAGAATGTGATTTATTATTAAAATCATTCTTCTCTTTATGGAATTGTGTGTTATATATACACAGTGAATATGGGGTCAATGGCAGACTCAATTAACTCATTTTTTATAGACTTTTATTTCGCTGACTCTTTTGCTCTGGTCGAGTAATAAAAAAGCGAAAGAGAAAAATGCGAGGCATCCATAAAAAAGGCAGCTTTATGAATTTAATAATAACAATTGTGATGAAAAAGGGACCGCATTGGGCAGTCAGTTGGTTGTTTACTGGTAGATTGATGATTTAAGATAAGTAATAAAGGAGGAGAAAGAGAGGCGAGAGCTGTGTAATTTATGGAAATAAATACCTTAATGCTATGTTTTACACACTTACTATTTATTGAATTTAAATAACAACTATAATTATTAAATGGAATAATTTTTTAACGGTTATTAAAATTTTAAAATCGTCAGACTTTCGATGGAATAAATTTGAATAAAATACGTTAAAATTAACTTTTGTTCTGCTTCTTATCCTTAATCTTTCCATCAATTTTTCTAATTTTCGGAATAAAGAATGCTAATACACCGCAAGCCACCATAATTCCAGCTGACACTCCAAATGTTTCCGTACAATAATGATCCAGTGAGAATCCAACGACATTCGTACCCAAAACAGAGCCAATTCGTCCAAACATCATTGAAATATTAATAGCCATGCCACTAAAATATTCAAAAGACATGAAGATCAAAACTTGACCGACAACAATTGACTTTGACTGACTTACCGTAAATTCGTTGGGAATAAATCAACTGTAGCTGAATTAACAATATTGACTGCCAATAGCAATCCCATAAATATCACGTAAAGATAGACAGACAGCAGCGGAATTGTACTGAACAGCGTTCCAAATCCACTAATACTGCATCCGAATAGGATGACTAATAAAACATTCAGCTTAGTCGTACGATTTATGATGAATGTAATGACGAGAAATCCAAACATGTAGAGTAGTTCTAAAATCAGGGAGTAAAAGAACGTTGAGACTTCATACGTCTCTGAGCACGTCTGTACGTGTTCTGATGAGTCCGTCATATTTCCGATTTCAGTCACATTCATCGCTAATTCCTCTACTAATGTTAATATCTCGCACATTGTTGAACGTTCAGTGGGGAATTGATTTGAGTACGATGCAAGCTGATCGACAATTTGTGGGAAGAACATGTACAGACCGTGACACGATGCAAATAGTCCGCATTGCATGAGACATACAATTATCATTTTCCTTGCATTATTTCCTGAGAATAAAATATAAGTTTGCTTCCATAGCATTACAAATGGATTTTCCGAGACATTATTCATTTCCCGTGTGGCGCTATCAATAAATTCTACATCTTCAATGACTTTCGTGACGTTGTAACCTTCTGTATCTTTGGGATTGTTGATTTTGTGAATTTTCCTTAAAATGTTCAAAGTTTCCTCTTCGTCACCCTGTCGAAATGATCGATAGAAAATTAAAATAAATTGGAAATCGTGCATGAAGATGAATTGGATTTTAGATGATGATGTTGAAGATTTCAGTGCATTTTCATGATTTTAGGAATAAATTTAAATTTTAAAATGTTTAACGGTTTTCTGAATTCAAATTTTACAAAAATTCGTAATTGAACACCCTTTTTCTCCACTTCAAAAAGCATTTCTTTAATAATTCAAACCCCTCTATTTTAATCTGCAAATTAATGCAGCCAAACGATTATAAAACATGGCAAGAGTCATTTTACCAAACATTGATAAATTTAAACTTAAAATTCTGCATAATTTCCAACATTTAAAATTTTAAATTCTGACAACTCAAATACCGTCTCAAATCTCCATTATATCCCCATGAAAATGCACTCAGAGTAGCATTAAAAAGCAGCTCAACCATCTGTTTACCTTTGAGAAAATAAATTTTGGACTTTCCGGAATGAAGAGAAGCAAAATGATTGCACAAACTAAACTCGGTAAGCCGCACAATAGCAAATATAATCTCCATGGCTTATATTCAATGTCAAATAATGGAATGTGAAAGTGGAATGTACGATTGAGTACAAGATATCCAAGTGCGGGCATATAGTTGCATGATACACCATAGATGAAGGATGCAGCCATTAAAACTTTCGAGCGATTCCTCGAGCTATGAAATTCACTCAAATATGCAAAAATTGTTGCAGATGATCCAGCAATACTGTGTATATGAATAAATTGAAACATTGTGTACATGAAAATTCCATTAAAATCCTCCAGTTCTTCTTCATTTTTTTTATTTTATTTTGCATACTCACAAAAATCCACAAAAAAATCTGCAAACGACGAGCATTTCGAAATTAATTGCAACGCTTGAAAGGAGACTCGTTAGGAATGCGACGATCAGAGATGGCACAATAATGCTTTTCCGTCCTTTCTGATCCGCTAAAAAGCCCCAAAAATGTGAACTTGCAATGATTCCAATCGCTGTGATGCCTGACAAAATCCCTTTGTGTTGTGTTGTAAGCGAGAGATCACATTCAGCCACGGGAAATATAAAGCTTATGCCTACAAAAAAAATTTTTAAAGTAAAATGTGTTTAACGATGTCCAGTGACTTTCAATTTTCATCACATACCAATTGTCTCGTACGTTGTTGTCGTAATTAAAATGCCTGAGAGTAAAATTAGGCCATAGTTGAATTTGCCAAAACCTATGAGACGAATTAAAAAGAGTTCAGAGATTATTAATATTTTGCTTTAGCTCCTCATTTAAGTCATGCTGAGGACATCTCTAATTTTTTTATATAAAGTTGAATTTTTGAATTTATTTTGACTGTTAAAAATTCAAATTTTAAACTTTTTTGATCATTCAAAAATTCAAATTCTAAACTACCGTTAAATATTCAAAAGCTGGTTTGGCTTTATCAAGCATGAAATGCCCACAACATGAAATCTAAAATTAAACGTCTTAAAATTTATTTTTTTCAACCTCTTTTACTACATCTCTTTGTAATCATGCCAAAATGAAATTAGCTGTAATGTGATGTGTGAGAAAAAAAGAGGTGTCAGGTGCTGTTATTTCAAACGAAAGTGAGAATCAATTATTACGCTTTTTCGCCTTGTGTAAAAACCTATCATTATTATTTATTTTGCGTTTATGAAAAGGTTTACTCTGGCCGAGATTTGTAATCTTTGGGTTCAGGTTGATGGATGGCTGTAGAGTAATGCGTAATTATGAAATTGTTTTTTTTTTTTCTAAATTAATTGAAGAGTGTTTTTAGGAGTTTTAAGTAGTTATTAGGGGGGGTGCTTAAAATGAATCAGGCATAAAAAGGATTTGTGGGATTTTTTTCTATTTTAGAGAGTCATTTGGCACTCTATTGAGTAAAGGGACAAAGACTGTCACAAGTAGTCAGAACGTTAGCACTTCAATAGATAAGACAACTGATTTTAGAGATTTAAAACGAAGCATCTGAGCACCTTGAAGATTTTATTGATCCTACATCTTAATTATTGTGCTTACATAACCTCAAAAAGCTACTGAAAATTAATCCTCAATAATAACGCCATCATCGTCATTACTAAATAACAAAAATTACATAACATATAGTAGCACATAGTAATCCGTAGTAAATCCCATTCAAAAATAGCTCAACAAAGATAATTTTCAATTCTCCTGGAAATTCCCAGTATCAACTCAATGAATTTTACTATAAAATTCCAATAGTAAACTAGTTTCGTAATCAATTTAATAAATATTGATGCCAATTCGCTGGTGGCCATCAATTTTGAGGATGAATCATGCAGCGTGTTAATTATTGATCGTCATATGATTTATTCCGTATTTTATCTTGAAGAATGTTTTAAAACTGTTTCTACTGTCTAAGCGTGAATGAATTAAATATGCTAATGTGCTTAATTAAAAGCCATCATTGTGGCATATTAAAAATGAGAAATTGAGTCATGTGGAGATTTTTTAAGAAATCGGATTTGATTTTGTAATTAAGTTGATCGGACTTACATTGTTGCATCTTGGGAAAATTTGGAAATTTTTAATTTTAAAAAATGTGACGACAACTTTAATTAAAGTTAAAGTTCATAAAGCTATAATTACTCAGTTACTGAGCATTGATAAGATTGGGAAGTTTTGACGAGTTCCCACGCTAGTTTAATAATATGTTTATTTAATTAACAGTTTCAATCTCATCAGTGAGAAGCTTAAAAGGTTGAAAACATTAGTTTTTGCAATTTTGAAAATTGAACTTTTGTTTGGATTTAGAGAGAGTTGAAGGGAGGAGGGGGGGGGGGGGTGTCATTTATCATATTTTTCAATTTTATCTAGTTTCCACCCGCGTGATACTAATGCATCATTTAAATACCATATGAAGTTGATTTGAGCTAAGCTAAGAACTAGTAGACTAGTAGCTTCATATCAAAAAAATAAGGTTAAGCTTCCATCCTAAATGTGTTCTTTACACCAGAGTCTCAAGTTCACATTTCAAATAAAGCTCGCCTTCATCTCTAATCGATCTTAAAATCATAATCAATATCTCTTCAAACTCAACTTATTCAAGCATATTGGCTTTTATCATCCAGTAAATTCCTGAACCAACACTATAAAATAATTAACTGAACTCCATCACATAACCGCATCACATAAACATGATCATTTAAAATAATTGATGTAAAAGCCATTGTCAATTAATTTTTATGATGATTTCAGGTTTCATGCTCACGCGATTAGTGATATTAATCTTATCAAGATTGAAATGTTTCCATTGTTGACAATTATTTTTTAACTTTTATTTTCTGGGAATTCAAGTTGATAATTTGAATAATTTCAAGCTTGATTTTTAGATTTTAATTTGGAATATAATTGGGTCGGTTTTGTTTCCTAACCTCAAAATGCATTAGAGTTTGAAATATGGCATCATACAACTCCAGTGCATTAAGACTTACTTTAACATCTGAGAAGTATTCATCTTGAAGTGTTAGCTCGAATAATATCAAACTAGCACAACATCCTGCTCGAATTGACAGTCCCCCGCCTACAATCAAACCTTCAAATCCGCACATTTTTCATACCCTCAAGAATCTCTGATAATCTAATCAATTAAAGCCATTATATGTTGATTATTTACCATTTATCATCCAAAGCAATGTGATTTATCGCACGACCCATCAAATAAATAAACAAAACAACAAACCACACAGTCGCAATTGGACTGTGGTCAATAAAATAAAAAATTTCACTTCCACTCATTCATACCTAATCGTGCTAATGCTTCATCAAAGTCCACAGCTTGTTGTTGTTGCTTCTCTTTTAAATCCATTGTAGACGTGCTTATTATATGAATCTGCTGTGTACCTGTTATTGTGGATGATTCATGTTCAGTTATTGATTTAATTAATTTTCATCTATTGGACAAGATCCGTCATTTGACTTACCCAAATTATTGACCTTATCTGATGCCATTGTTGCTCTAGTTTTTGATACACACTTTAACTTTTAAGCACATGTAATTAAGTGCTTAGAATAAATTCTTATTATAATCCAAACTGCTTGACAGACGTTAAGCAACTAGTTCCATTTCTTCCCAAAAAATGTGGAGAATTTTTTTTATAATTGTTTTTTTATTTGAATTTCCAGAGGCAAATTCGATGCCTTGAAATTTTTGATATTGCACTATGTTCAAGTACGTTCCATTTCCATTGCCTCTTTGCAGCACAATAATAACAACTTTCGTGTCAATAGTGAAATTTTCACATCAACAAATTCACGTCAATTAAAAACTTTTTTTAAATAACAATGTCATAGAAATTTTCGTGTATCTAGATGATATGTCAAGTAATTATCTCCAGCTACACACTTGATTTTTAATAATTAAATGGGAAAGCAAGTCATATCAACTAATCAAATTAAAACCCCAAAAAGCTTTCCTTGTTTTCAAATTTAAATTCTTTTATTTATTTACACATTTAAAGTCAACTCTTTATAATCCATCAATTAAACACATGCTGATTTCGACGAGCTTCGTGTTTACTGTTAATGAATTTTCGCGTGAATGAGATAAAATAAAAATTTATAATCTGTTTTATTCTGAGATGAAAGTAATGCCACACACACGAGAAAACACCCAGCAACTCTACTTAAATACTGATAGTGATCGATTTTGGGTACAAATATGATTTTTCTGTTGTGTACGGTGTGAAAAATATGTATAATCGAGTGATGGTAACTTGTTGGCAATGATTTGAAGTTGGAGCGGAACTGATGGGTTCTGGAAATGCACATGGAAACAAAAATTGGTTTATAAAGGTGGGAATCGAACTTTCAGCTTCAAAGAGTACCATCCTTGATTTGCAGTCGTGTAGTTCATTCATATTTGTTCCATTGCTCTTCATGGTTTGGGTTCGAAACTCAACGTATCACTCTTTTTTAACAGTGTTCATACTATCAACCATCAATTGATCATCTTTTTCGGGTGGGAATCGAACTTAAACTTTATTCCCTGAACCATATTTATTCTCATGTTCTTACAACTAAGCTTCTAGAAGTTGCTTCAAAACTTGGCAGAATACTAATTTAATCATTTGTTAACCAGCGTTACTTACAAACATACATACTTCGCTGACTTTAAAGATCAATTGTGATCCATAGACTCCCTTAGCCTTTCCAGCTTTACTTAAGAACTAGAAATAAGAGTAAAAGCCTAGTTATTTCCTGATCACGTCTCTATAAACACAGTTCAATCCCCTTGCCAACAAATAATCTTCATAATAATCTGTATCTATCTTTCTATAGCATCACAAAGACATGATAATTAACATTTAAATTTTATGTCCATTATAACAATTTTCATACTCCAAGAGCTGCAAATATTTTACACACACAGACTTTTTTTCGCTCCGCACATTAAGTTGGCATTTTTAAATATTTTTTAGAGCATCTGATTTTTTTTGAAGGTCTATAACGTTTTGAGGAAATCTGTGTGACTGATGTGTTTGACTTACGGGTTAATGAAATTGAATTTTTTTGCTGAATTGCAAAATGTTAAGGAAATTCATTGATCGACGTATGAAAGAATTTTGATGAATTCATTCTCGGATATGCTTCCGATTTCTCAAGGCTAGAGTTTAATGAAAATCAAGTCACGTTGAGGCAGTCTTTGTTGTTTAAATTGTATTTTTTTAAAAGGGGAAGTTGTTGAGGTGTGAGTTTAGAGATTTATATGGATGATATTTAGTTGTCAGTAAATGATTTTTGAGAGTAAGATTGAAGTTTGAAGGCTTGGCTGCTTATGCAGTTGAGATGAGTGGAGAGCATGATGGTCGGATGTAGTCTGGAACCAATTTCTGTGCTGTCTCTTAAAACAGAGCTAGTATTTTTAACTTCAGCTGGAATTAGCCTAAAGCTAAGTATAATCCGTGCCATATCAACGCTAGTCTATTGAGCCAACTAAGCAAATTTACGTTTTTTACAGTTTTGTCATTAAAACAGCGATCAAGGATGTGGAACTGAAGAATTACATTTTGATCATTTTTGATCATTTCATCAGTACTAAACCCGTGACAGCGATCTAGTGACGCCCTAGCGATTTTGTATGCTTTGCCGCTCTAGACATTTAGTTCTGAGCATCTAACTCTGTGTGGCTAGGACGTCTGCATGGTATCACTACTGCTGACTAGCAGTTAAACCTATAAACCAATAAAGTTCTCAAAAACTCTTAATTTAATGAAACCTCAAAGTAAAAATCCCATAAGTACACCTCGAAGCTCCCTTGACGTGATTACCTCCATCATATGTACAATGAATAAATGTTTATTTTCTCTCGCGAGTTGTCGCGCTTAAAAAAATACTCAGAAGTCGGCAATTGTCGTAATTTAATTTTGTTTATTCTGTGAGTAAAGTTTTACAGGAGGAAAACTAAAAATAGCAAAAGAGTATTATTAAAAAATTTAATTATTCATAATTGCATAGCATTTAAAATGCCAAGAAGGTAGAAAAAGGCAATAAAAGTTTTTTCCATACAATCAGCAGCACGGAATCTCGAAATTGTTGTTAAAAAGTTTTTCATATTCATGTATGTTTTAATTATATGACGTTGAAAAAGAGTGCAGGTGATATGAATGAATAAATATTGCACTTACATGAGGCTTTTCACGGCTCCTTTTCAGCATATTTACTGTTTATGCTGCCTGCTTATGTCGTCTCATCATGCAATTCATTAAAACGCAAATTAGATTTTCATTATGCATTATTATTTTAATGTGTAAGAAAGGCACCAAATAATAAATTCATTGTTACTGCTCACCATTTTACAGCCGTCAATCAGTGACTTAAAAATATTTTAATGATCGATAGTAAATTTTTACAGCTGCATAAATTTCTTAATCAAACATAAAAAACAACAAATATTTGTTAGGGTAGCGCGCGCTGACTACCAGCACCTGCATATTATATTGATAACATAACGTTGATTGCCAATTAGCTCTGAATTTATTTTCTCCTTTCTTCACTCCTCTTCCCTTTTTTGGTAAATCACACGTGCAATATCAATTTCATTCAATCAATTCATGTCCATATATGTGTATATTCGTCCAATATTTATTTATGTAATTAGAAATGAAGGAAAAATGCTGCAGAAAATTGTTTACAAACAAAATGATTCATTCGTTTAAAATGGTTATTTATTGACGAGTTCCGAGCTGTATATGGTTTGTGTTTGAGGTGGTCTTGTTGATTGGTGTGGTTTCTTACAGTGATTGAGTGCTTGCTAATAGTTCATTAAGGGGAATAGTTTAATGAGAGTAAATTGATAAATTCCGCAAAATGGTGGTCTCACTCAACTTTGAAAGTTTGAAATTATAAATTTTCTATCAAACTTGCACCCAACTTAACTCCATACAATTATTTGAACTCCTTAAAACCCGCTAAAACTGACAAATCTATTTCAAATCATTTGATCTCTATTGTATTGCACTTTAATGAAACTCAATGCTTCTATATCAGCACCATTCCAAACCATCCACTCCCCGGATCCAAAACTATTTAACAGCAGTACTAAATGAACAACGCTTTCCTATCCCACCCACTTTTATAAAAAAATGTGCTTCGCTTTCATGAGCTCACTCAATTTATCTGATGTTCAATTTAAGGTTTGAATCGGTTCATTCTCTCTTCTCCAACATGTCTACTATTAAGTATGTAAATGACTTAATTTTCAAACTATTCAACTCCAGATGACTTAATTAAAAATCCGGTGGTTTAAAATACTATCCGAAGAGCGAAAGATTTTGCTAACTGAATGGAATCGGAATGAAAGGAAATCGCAATAATTGGATACGACGATGAGACAGCAAAGTTGATTATAATCATGAAAATGAGGAATAAAGCTGAGTGAAATGGTTTAAATTTAAAAGCTGAAAGCTCTTTTTTTTTGAATGAGGAAATACAATGAATAAGGAAATTTCATTAAAGGCTGTCAAGCTGATTACTTTAATTATTAAATTACTACTGGAATAAATTTGAATTATTGTCAGTTTAAAGTGGCGCTTTAAAGCGTTGCTGCAATAAAAATTTCATAGTTTAACACCCTTTCGGATTTTTTATTTGGAAATATCGATTAAGTCGAGATGCAAATGAGAATAGGATTAAGTTAATCTAATCTGGCAATAAAATTGTGTGAAGATTAAGCAGTAAATAGCGAATTTTATGCTTTAGATTTAATATCTTTGTTTTATTGATTTTTAATCCAATTCAATCGATATATTAGCACTAGCAGTTGTGTTGTGACTAAGTTTATAAATGGATACTGTCTATATCAAGTCATATTTTAAGACTTTTTGTAATGTAACTCAAAAAACAGTTAAATAAGCATTTTTAAGACTCATCGATGGTATTGATAAGTTTTTTTGGTGATCAGATCCAAGTTTAAACTTTACTCTATCCCCAATCTACAATAGTAATACGAAATTACCTGTTTCCTTAGTAAACGCTTCCTTTAACCGATGTATTTGGGTTTTCTCACCAGGTTACACCCCTCTAGCTTCTACCACAATACAATACAGCTCTGATTAGCATTTCTTAAGACTTAGAGGCGCTTCATTCTTCATAAACGACTTCCTCATTCCAAAAATGCCTTCCATTTTTCCAGTCAGCTGCGATTATCTACACGCATTTGACACAAGAACATTAAATAAACAAAATACCTCGAATCATTAATTGAGACAATTGAGTAAAATTTATCATCCATGAAACCGCACATAAAACATATCGTAACATCATATATGGTGATTAATCACATTAATTAACAGAAACCTCCAATCCCTTTTCAATTTTATATTCATATTATTATAAGAATTAATGTTGAATAATCAGCTGTAAATGAAACTGACAGTCGTTGAAATCAACTCGAGTTCTTTCCTTTCCTTACTTCTCCTCCTTCTTTTCGCTACATCACATCACATTTCACA